GTTGTCCTAGTTTCCATTTTTTATATGACTCCTTTTTTATTTTGAGATCATGCAAGATCTCCTTGTTAAGCCAAGCTGGTCTTTTGCCATATTTTCTATCTTTCCTACACAGCGGAATTGTTTGCTTTTGGGCCCTTAACAACGTCCCTTTGAAATACTTCCAACTCTCCTCAGTTGTTTTTCCCTTCAGTCTTGCTTCCCATGGGACCTTACCTACAAGTTCTCTGAGCTTATCAAAATCTGCCTTCCTGAAATCCATTACCTCAATTGTGCTGGTCTCCCTTCTACCTTTCCTTAAGATCATGAACTCTATTATTTCGTGATCACTGTCCCCTATACTGTCTTCCACTTTCAAGTTCTCAACTAGTTCCTCCCTATTTGTTAAAACCAAATCCAGAACAGCTTCTCCTCTGGTAGCTTTTTCAACCTTCTGAAACAGAAAGTTGTCTCCAATGCAGTCCAGAAACTTATTGGATAGCCTGTGCCTCGCTGTGTTAGTTTCCCAACATATGTCTGGATAGTTGAAGTCCCCCATCACCACCAAATCTTGGGCTTTGGATAGTTTTGTTAATTGTTTAAAAAAGGCCTCATCCACCTCTTCCACCTGGCTAGGTGGCCTGTAGTAGACTCCTAGCATGATATCACCCTCGTTTTTTACCCCTTTTAGCTTAACCCAGAGACTCTCTACACAGCTATCTCCTACGTTCATCTCCACTTCAGTCCAAGTGTGTACATTTTTAATATACAAGGCAACCCCTCCTCCCTTTTTTCCCTGTCTGTCCTTCCTGAGCAAGCCGTACCCTTCCATACCAACATTCCAATCATGTGTCCCATCCCACCAGGTTTCTGTAATACCAATGATATCATAGTTGTATTTATTGGTTAGCAATTCCAGTTCTTCCTGCTTATTACCCATACTTCTCGCATTTGTATATAGGCATCTAAGATACTGATTTGATCTTGCCTCCCTGTTGTGCCCTGACCCTCCTTTCTCCTTGCCATTATAGGCCGTAGTCCCCCCCTCAGTTTTGTTCCATTATATAACTTGTGAAAGTGAAAAGTGAATACGTCAATTAGTTGCACTTACCATACTTTGAAAGCTCCTCTGGAAAAGCCTATTGTAGTAATGGTTGTTTTATTTTGAGAGTTTATTACCTTCCATTTTACATATCTGTATGAATGAAAAAAAATGTAAGTATCAAGTTCTGCTTTACATAGGGGGCAAAATTGTATTCCAAGCTTCACACTATACTGAGCAACATGTAGAGGAAGCATATATGTGTTCTTTGAGTGAAGGGTTTGCAATTGTTTCCTGAGTGGGATGAATGGGGGAAAATGAGGTCGGGGGCAGGGGAAGACAAGCATTTTCCTTTACCCCTCAGCTCCTCTTCTAGGACCAAGGACAGGCTGGCCTAGAGTGGATGGGAGAGCAGCACCATTTTCTGTAATAACTGAAAAACTGTCCAGAAAGAGAATGCGAGGTCACTGAGTAAGGAATGGGTTAGAAGGAGGTAACTGGAAGAGTGAAAGTAATTTATAGGGAGTGGGGAAGGAGAAGGAAATGTGAGGGGATTTTTGTAGAAAGTTGGGAAAAGCAACAAGACAGACAGTACACAGGGCCAGATCCTTACTTGCTGTAAATTGATGTAGCTAAGGAATGATGCTTAAAGAGTGTTCCAAATTGTCTTGCTCTTCAGTTGTGTTTGTGTGCTACCTTCATATAGAATAAGTTTCTCAGATTGGGTACTGCCTAGTGGACTCAGTTAATCAAGTTACCGTTTCTCTATTTATCCTTTTGATAAATTGAGAGAAATGTTCAGAATGGGTGGCAGGGTTGAAACTGTTCTCCAATTCATATCCAATTGTTTTTTCTCATAGGAGCTAACAACTCTGAAGTTGTTCCTGTAGAAGAGACATTCTCAGAACAGGTTAGATAGACATCTGTCAGGGATGGTGTAGATGGAGCTTGGTCCTGCCTTGAGGGCGGGGGGCTGGACTCGATGACCTCTCGAGGTCCCTTCCAGTCCTATTATTCTATGATAATATGATTCTTTTAGAAAATATTAAAGATATTAAAGCCCACTCTGTTGAGAGCCTGAGAGGTTTTTCTGATTTCAAAGAATAATTAAAATCTTAGGTTCATGGTTGGTAACAATGATTGTGGCACTTATTTATTAACATTCATTTTCACATTTCCAACCTCACATTTGTTACAGAGATTTCCTTCTGCCAGTGTTTGTGGGTAAAGCAGGGGAGGATGAAACTGTTCTATTATGATTGCAGCTATATTACAAAATGTTTTGCAATAGACTTTTTTTACAAGTTCTAATTCAAGAAAATAAGGAAGCCTATCATTATCTTTTCAGCCCCCTCTCAGTAGATACAACTGACTGAAAACTCCTAAATTCATGGGTGAGGGGTGAAGGCCCAGCTCGGGAAGGCCCAGCCCCTTCCACAACCTCCCAAACTGTGAAGTCAAGACTGTCCCCCACCCCAGGTTACTGCCCCCAATTCCAGCAGGTGGTTGGCCCTACCTTTCCCAGGTGGACAGAGTGCCTGGGGCAGCCATGCAGCAGCCCAATCCTTCCTGGCTGGCCAGACAGTTCATCAGCCACTCTGTGGCCCCAGCCCTCCTGGGCCCCCAGCTGGCAAAGCGTAGGCAGTTTTGGGAAGGCAATGCCTTCCCTTGCCTATGTAACCCACCACCTATGTCTAAATTCATATTTGATGCTGAATGAATCTCTGTGAACAAGACCATCACTTAAAGATCCACAGAAAGCAGCAATGAGCTGTAAAAGCCAGGCGAATCCAGGAAAAACAGGACGTTTGCATGGTTTAGCAACTCCACAGGGCATTAGGAGACCGAGCTAGCCTGTGGCCCTATCACAACTCTACCAACTGATGTTCAAAGTCACAGCTCTTCATTTAAAAATGTGTCAGGGCTTAAAGTTTATTGTGTTCCAAGTTTTAAGTGCCAAGTCTTTCAAGTGGTTGAATACCAAAGACCAGTTTTGGATATGTTCACTCGCACAGCATGCTGTTAAAAATCAATGCGACCACTCATAAAACATGGTATTGCACAACATGATTAAAGATACCAGAATCTTGATGTCAGCTGGTTAGTATCTATGACTATAAAAGTTTACAGAGCTCTTAGAAAAAAGACTTATTAGGTTGTCAGAACTTAGTAAGCTTCTGAAGTTTGGTCCTACACTGGAGGTTTAGGTTAGTACAGGTTGAACCTCTCTAGTCCAGCACCCTTGGGACCTGACCAGTTCCGAACCAGAGAATTTTCCAGACCGTGGGAGGTCAATATTGTCTAGCAGCGTTACTAACACGTCCACTCTTAGAAGACATTTAGGGGTAAATTATAGCTAAATAACAGCACAGAACACTGCGGGCTAGGACTGGTGCTCTAAACAAACTTTATGGGACTGTGAGAAACTTGGCCACGCCCATGAAAAGTGGACATCTGGCTAAGTAAAAATCATTCTGAACGACAGATGTTTTCGGACCAGAGTTCTGTACTAGAGAGGTTCAGCCTGTACATGTATTTTACTGGGACTCACCATGGAAGTAAGAAAAGCATTACTCCAACATTTGAACTAATTCTTTGGAATTTCATTAATTTAAACTGGACCAATCTGCATTACCCCTTGTGATGTTTAGAGGACTACACCGAGGAGTAAGAGGTCTGTCACCTTTGTCATCTTTGTGCTGAACAGCTGTGTTTTGATTCTTTGACACTAGTAGCCAGCCCACAAGCCTAAGGTCTTCCCCGGCTCTCATCAGCCTACCTATTTCTTGCCAGGTGACATCATGAGCCCTTTTGGTCCTGAGTCTCCTTCTTCCCTGAGATCTCAAGCACCAGACAGTTGGAACATTCCCTTCTGGTTCATCACTTGCAAATGTTTGGAACCAGCCCACTTTGGCATACACATGCTGCTCAGCTTGCACACCAGAGCTGTTGTAAGGTTAAAAATAAACCACAAAGTGTACCTAATAGGAAATCAGAGATTCAAAGATAAAACATTAAGGGAAGGCAGACATACAAATCACACAGAAAATAACCAGACACAACCAGTAGGCTTTACAGTTCTGTACGAGATAGCATCCCTTTTCTAATACAAGTTATTTATTCCCTTTGAACAGCTTCTTAGTATCTCCTCAGCTGTAGTTGAGATCCGGTGTTTATGGATAGCGTCCTGCCAGTTTATTAAAGACAAACCTTAGTTCTAGCCTGTTTTTAAAAGGATTTTCTTCACCTCCAGCCCCACCTCTTGATCTGGCATGGTGACCAATGTTTATTGGTAGTGCAGAAATCCCCTCTTAACCTGATAGCCAGAAAGTCTAAATATTTTCCCATCAATGCTAATGGTCCATCATTGTATTTTCCTGCACTGGACAATGGAGCATTGCTTCAGTCCAGTTTTGTGTAAGCACCTGGGTTCAGAGGTGCCTCTTCACAATTAACTGTCCCCTGTCCTGCCGTGAGGTGTAATTGACATATTAGTTTAGATTATGAGCACAGTTTTTGTATGCACAAATACCTAGGTTCATAACCACAGTCTGTCTCCCTATCTCCTAATGACAATCAAGTTCAAAGCACTACGAGCTTACTCTCTATATTTTTATAATACAATGATACAGTATGCAATCAGTTGGCTTAACTGCTCATTTTTGGGAGTTTAAAAGCTTCTGTTCTCCTGGTGGGTGACTCTCTTTGTCACACCCATCACAACCCTAAAATGAATACAAATCACAGTTTCTGCTTGTATATGCAATATTTCCTTTTCTGCTGCCGGGAAAGTCATAAGGAAGATTTATTTAATCCTTTGACATCAGTCCAGAGCTCTAAAAATTCTGACTCAGTTTGCTGGCAGAGAGTCAGTGAGGACCATCTTATGGAATTTGTCATAATCACATTTAGTGGGTAAAACCAGTATTTATTTTCAAGTCTCTTTCCACAGTTATCTTACATTTCGCTTTCCTCCACACAGGTGTGATTATTGTCCCAAGTGCTGGTGTTGGCATTGTGCTAGGTGGCTACATTATAAAAAAACTCAAACTTGGTGCAAGAGAGTCTGCAAAGCTGGCTATGATCTGCAGTGGCGTGTCTTTGTTGTGCTTTTCAACGCTTTTCATTGTTGGATGTGAAAGCATTAATTTAGGGGGTATAAATATACCATACACTACCGGGTAAGTGTCTTTGTATCAATGACTGCAATGCCAGCTATTTGCAAAAACCTGTGAGAAATTTAGCTGTTTTATTTTCTTTTATTTTATTTTATTTTATTTTATTTTATTTTAAAATGAGCTATTTTTTGAAGTCCATTACTTAAACAAGAACTCAGTGAATATAGTCAGATAAATACATCATTTAACTGTATGATCTTGTCTGAGCATGAAGGGGATAGGTGTTTGAACTTATTTGGCATGATAGCAAACCTACTCAAATATCTTGGGTTTGAAAGTTCAGTTTTAAACTAGTGGGTTTGTGTTCCATGTGGAGACACAATGAAGAAAGCAGAATAGGAAGAGAGAAAACTCTCACATAAAAAAATGGGGTAAGAGAGGGAACAGAGAGTAGTCCAGATGCAAATCAGAGGGTACGGTTACACTGCCGCTTTTTTTGTTCTCTTGTCGGAAGAGGCTTTTCCAAAATTTGGCCTAGCTAGATGGGCCAAATGTCAGAAACCCCCCTATTTCAGAAGCCCCCTTATTTCTCGGGGAAGTAGGAATATTGGGGCTTCTGAAAGAGCACGTTTGCTCTTCTGCAAAAAAGTGGAAGAGCAAATGTATTTTCTGGACACAGAACAGTTCGGTATCCTGGAAAAACTGTTTAGTGTAGCCATACCCAGAGAGGGAAACTGTGAGAAAAGGAAGAGAGGAAAAAAAATCAAATAAGAAAATAAATACTGGATCCGTCTTCTTGTGGTGTTATGTGTCTGCTTTATACTTCATTGTCAGCAGAATGCAGACATAGAGCTAGGGAAACCAGACCCTGAAGACTCCTCCGTTGTAAGCTGGCCTGGTATCTCCTGTGCTAAAGCCCTCCTGGATGTGACTCAGAGAGGTGTGGCCTAGTGCTGAGGGTCAGGCTGTAGAGTGAAATGATGTTTGGGAGGTGCTGCAGCGTAATGTTGTTGGGCTGAAGAAGCAGGAAATGGGGACAGAAACTGTAGGTATATTATTTATTAAGGAAGGGGTTGCAGCGATTATCTGTTGTCAGCTGAAATGCCGTGACACCCTCTGGAAGTAAAATGAACCTAAAATTGCCTTGAATATGATTTGTTCATATTATGCAAATTAGGCACGGGATATTTAAATTCCTGACTCATTTGCAATGTCTACCTGCCTAATCTTCATCCCTCTGCCGACAGAGGGATGCAGTCTAGACATAGCCTAAGGGTCCCACATCTTCCCTAACCTTCTTGTTGCTAACATAGCTGTAGAAACCCTTCTTACTATCTTTTACGTCCCTTGCTAGCTGCAACTCCAATTGTGCTTTGGTCTTCCTGATTACACACCTCTATGCTTGAGCAGTGTTTTTAATAGTTTATAAAGATTTCACTTTTTAAATATCAATGTCTGCTGTCATTAAATAATTGCCTGATCCCCAGTAATTCCCCACAACTGTAAAAATCGTAAGTAGATAAAAATAAATAAATACTCAGAACCCATCATTTTATGTACCTGTGAAAATGGAAATAAAAATCTACAGTAATGCTTAAAGGTCAATATTATCCATCACAACAGTTTATTAACAATGATTTCTTCCAAGACTGCATATACCTCATGAAAGATGACCAATGGAATATGTTGAGATGAGTGACATCAACTGCCATATAATAGACATCCTTAGTGACAGTAATAAGCCATTAACAATATAGTTAAAGGGAAATTTTAGGCAGAGCCCAATTCTGTAATAAACTCTTTAGAAAAAAGTAAATTTGTTGAGGTAGTTTTCATGTGCCCGTCTCTGCCCTCCCACCCTCAATGCCCTTGCACTTAGCTCATACCACTCCCTGTTCATTTACCACACTCTGCCTTCATGCTATTTAGGAGAAATGGACCTTCTGCCCGAATTTAGCTGCCTGCTCCCGTAATAGAACCATGCTAATTCTCCCCTTCTCACCCACTGACAGGAGGAGTCTCCTCTTAGTGCCTTGGTCAAAAAGCCAATAATCTGTAAATTGTTATGTATGAGCAAGTGAAATAAGTTTGTTGGCATAAAGCATTCGCTTAAACTCTCAGTATTGCAGAGCCAGATGAAATTTACAAATCAAACTTAGGGTACGTATACACTAGCCCCCTAGATCAATCTAGGGAGGCTAATGAGGGCGACTGGAATTGCAAATCAAGCCCGGGATTTAAATATCATTGCAGGAGGCATACCAGCTAATTGAATCAGAATCCTGTTTCACTGCCAAACATGCAAATCAAGCGCAGGATATTTAAATCCTGGGCTTGATTTGCAATTCCGGTCACCCTCATTAGCCTCCCTAGATCGATCTAGGGGGCTAGTGTATAAGTACCCTTAGAGAATCACAGGAAGCAATTAGCCAATACCTTCAATGCTGCATCCTCTGTTCTTCCATTAGTTAAATGAATTCAGCAATATGGAAAGCCTAGAAAGTTCAATCGAAATACAGATGTAAATATAATGTTCTTCACTAAAAAAAACAACCTATCACCATTGTAAAAGGGCGATATACTGAAAACAGGAAATAACAATATCTCAGTTACCTGCAGTTGTGAGGTTCTCCTCAATCCCAACCTTGACACCTGCACCCTCCCAACACACCCATAGCCTCTGCCCTGAGCCCCTCCTCACCCACAAATCCTGACTCCTGCAACCCCCTATGCCCCCAGTCTCTGCCCTGAAGGACCAAGCAACACAGGGTAACCCTTCTACTGTCTCATACTTTCCTATTAATAAGGACGAAGGGGGTCGTAAGGGTCTGTTCCTTTTATCTTCTGTGATAGCTCTTCCAAGAGGTGTCTAATTTAAACTTGGATGACATAGGCTGTTTACCCTGTGTTTAAGAACATCCTCCTATGCAGATTTCACCTTTTTATTCAAGTCTGGTGTTTTAAACTTTGTTTCTCTATACTCACTGTTTATGATCCAGTTTACACCGTTGCTTTCATTCAGTGATTTCTGGGACTCATCTTGTAGCGCTATTGTCATTTTGTAATTTCTTTGTATCACACACCATGCCTTCATCTTGCCCAAGAACATTAGACACATGCTGTTGACACAAGAGCATTACTTCATAATACAAAATAACATATTGTTGCATTGACTGATGACCGTCTCTTGGCAATTAATGAAGACCAGCTATTCATGTTGATATGAATAGATCCCCCAGCTGCTTTCATTCCAGTCAGTGTTGGATTGCAGTCCCTGCTGGGAGTGGATGGAGCCAGACTTCAGTGGGTTTGTTCCTTTGCGGCTTACAGATGGTAGTGTTGGGCACTTGCTTTTCTACCTTGAGAGTTCTCGTAGGCTACTAGAATGATCCTATTTTATTTTTCCTTCCTAAGACAGTTAATAACTAGATGTGGGTTGAAGCATTTTCAGCATGCTGGAAAACCCCAGTTTTATAGCTCTATCTTGCCCAATGCAGAATATGGCCACGTGTCTTTCTCATGATTTGGGTCACAGTGAGATATGGATGACTAAGACTCCATCTGTATAAGACTGGGGTGATTATGGTGGCTGAGGGAGCAACAGGAAGAGTTGGAGGAGGCGGTAGCAGCCCCTACTCTAATGGTATTTGGCCATCAGTGGTAACCACAGTTGGCATTTTGGTAGGGTCTACATGTAAATAATCCAACAGCAGTGTTAACTTGGGCTGCTTTTTGTGTTTCCGTTTGGCTGAGAGGCTGCAATCTTTCCTTTCAGATGGGAGCTGCGTTCGTGCAGTTTGTGCCTCGATCACCCTTAGAAAGGGCTGCAGCGATGGACTTTCTACTTTAAATCCATTTAGAAGCTAAAGCTTATGTACAGTGGGATAGCTTGCTTTGCTTAGTGTCGTCTCCTGCCATGAGCATGTGACGCCAGTGCTCTGGGACCTGCACTCTCTGCCTATTGGCTTCAGACTGGAATTTAAGGCATTGGTTCTGATATTTAAAAATCTGAATGGCTTGGGACCCATCTATCAAAGACTGTCTGTCTTCCTGTGCCATTCTGCTGTAGCTCTGATTGGCTGACGCTTCTGTAACCAATAAGAGAGGTTGCTGCTGGCACTATGCTCCCTGTGTGTTCCTCAGCTCTGGCATTCTCTCCTCTCCCATTGAACCCTCCCCCTCCCAAATTTGTTGACCTTCAAGCCCACAGCAAAATCCTTCATGTAAGGCAGGTTTGAGGGGTCAGGGAGTTGAGGCTCTTTGGGGAACATGCTGGGTTGGGAAATTTAAGATTTACTTGGGTCCTGCAATGGGATTGGGGCTACTGTGTAGCACTGCAGGGCAAAATATAACTAATCATTAGTTTCTGAATGGTGGGTGCTATCAGGGGGAGATGTGCTCTTTCAGTTTTGTAAGGATTTTTTGCATTGCACATTTCATTTAAAGTCACTGAAGCCTAAAGAGCAGCATTGGCATGCTTTTATGTTACTCACATCCAAATAAATAACTAATCTTTGCAACCTTTTTAATACTAAAATCACTAAATAACTACAGACAAATTGAAAGGGGTAATTTCTCTGCACATATTTAACATGCTATTCTAATGTAATCTCTTTTCCTCTCCTCAGTCCTACACTCACTATGGCACATAGAAATCTGACAGGCAGCTGTAATGTTAACTGTGGATGTAAAATTCATGAGTACGAGCCCGTTTGTGGATCAGACGGAATAACATACTTCAATCCATGTCTGGCTGGCTGTATCGGTGCTGGAAATCATAGCACTGGGGTGAGTGTGTAATACTATGGGGCCAAAGCTCAGCAGATCTGGGCTGAGTGGATGGATACAGAAAGGGGAAGTGTACTAGCTCCCAGGCACACTTCTTCCTTCTTCTCAGCTTCAGAGAGTCTCATCCACAAGTGCCCCCTGTGCATGAATTTCTCTGTGTTTCAAAATGATAGGAGCACCGATTGTCCATGACATTATCCCAGCCTGCAGCAATGTTGGAATTTTGAGCGTGAGTTAATGCCAATTATATCAAAAATAACTCACACAGAGTGAACCTCCACCAACCAAAGGGCTGCTTTGGAAACGGTCATGAGACCACTGCAGTTGTAGGAATTGTACTCCACTGTAGCAGGGGAGCTGGATTTGCAGCACGAGCACAGTGTTAGATGGGCTGGGCCTTGCTCATGTCCTACATTTTCTGGGTTGGAAATACTGAATCTCTTCTGCTCTGTCTCCTGCAACTGTCCCTGACCTGTCGCTTTCCTGCTGCTGGCTTCGTGTCCCAGCTCCATTTTCCTTGCCACATAGTACCCATCTCGTCTCCTCAGGCTTGTCATCCCCGCCCTGGTCTCCTTGCCCAGCTACCAGAGGGGTAGCCGTGTTAGTCTGAATCTGCAAAAGACTGTGAATGGCTCGCTAACTACAAAAGCAGCTTCTGCTCTCTTGGAATTCACACCTCCAGATCAGCTGCTAGAAGTGGGCCTCATCCACCTTGATTGGATCCACCTCGTCATCTCCAGCCTGATCCTGGCCTGCATATTTATACCTGCCTCTGGAAATTTCCACTACATGCTTCTGACGAAGTGGGTCTTTGCCCACGAAAGCTTATGCTCCTACACTTCAGTTAGTCTATAAGGTGCCACAGGACTCCTCGTCGCTTTTGCCCAGCTAGGCTCAGTTCTCCTCTCCCTTATCTGCTTAACCGTGTACTGGCTCCCAGTCTTCATCTCTTCCTAAGTCTTCCTCCGTCTCCTCCCTGTCTCTCTGCTGCAACCTTTCCCTCCCTAGCTTCTTGTGCTAGGCTCTTTACCCAGCTACTCCCTTTACTGCCTGTGCACCCCTACTCCTTGTAAAATCTGTGTCCATCCCACCCCACACTGGTTCCCAGTCCCAGTCTCCAGCCTCCTCATTTTCACTATCCTTCATTTCCCTGACCAGCTTCCCATCCCAGACCTTCTTCTTCAAACCCTGGCCCCCACTCGTAGTATCCTTGCCCACCCAGTCCAGCTTCTTGCCCCACTCCATCCAATGACACCAGACTCCTTGTTCCAAACTACATATACCCTTTCCCCCATCTGGTTTTGGTCCCCTCTGCATTCAGAACAGACAGTTTCCTGCTCCGCACTGCCTGTGTGCCAGCGGGGGGTAGGATGGGCACTGAGAGCACATTACAGGCAGTCCCCGACTTACACTGATCCGACTTATGTCGGATCCGCACTTACGAACGGGGCTTTTCTCGCCCCGGAGCTCGCGGGAGGCGGGACCGCCCAGAGCGCAGCGGTCCCACCACCGCATCCTCCGGGGCGAGAAAAGCTGCTCCGGGTCTCCCTGGTGTGCTGGAGGGGACTCCCCAGCACAGCAGGGAGACAGGAGCAAAGCCGCAGAGGCGGGGGACCCCGCCACCTGTGCAGCTTTGCTCCGGGGCAAAGGAGCAAAGCCGCACGGGCAGCGGGGTCCGCCGCCTGTGCGGCTTTGCTCGGGTCTCCCTGCTGTGCTGGGGAGTCTCCCCCAGCACACCAGGAAGACCCGGAGCAGCTTTTCTCGCCCCGGAGGACGCAGTGGTGGGACCGCTGCGCTCTGGGCGGTCCCGCCGCCCGCGAGCTCCGGGGCGAGAAAAGGCCCGCTCGTCAGTGG